ATATATTATACTCATCTTCCTCATTCCCTTTCTCTCGCTTCTCGCTTCTCACTTCCCTACTCCTCTCCTTCTCTCTCCCTCTCCCTCTCCCTCCGCTTCTCTATTCTCTTCCCTCAAAATCAAAATCAAAATCAAAATCAAAATCAAAATCAAAATCAAATCCGAAATCCATACAACTAGAAATCACATTTTACAAAATAAACATATAAATCTACAAAACTATAAACCTATAAACTCACAAACCTACACATCCATCTACAAACCCTGCATCTAAACAAGTAATCGAAGAAATCCTCATAGAAAGAATTTATTTATTTGTATTAATTATTATTCATTCACTCACTATTCACTCCCTCTTATATCATCTCACCCCACCCCACCCCACCCCAAGATCAAGATCAAGATCAAGATCAAGATCAAGATCAAGATCAAGATCAAGATCAAGATCAAGATCAAGATCAAGATCAAGATCAAGATCAAGATCAAGATCCAGATATAGCATCTCATCCAACAACCCCTCAGATATATCAACCACCTAATACCTAGATAGATACTCAATCTCACATTTAGATCTTTCGATTCCTTCTCAACTGCTAACTATCCCCTCAAATGACGTTGTTTCATTCCATTCCATATCCTATCCTATCCTATTCAAGACCACCGTCATGAATCCATATACATCCATCCAACCATCTGCTCCAAAATAAATCCAAATCAACCAACCAATATACATCCAACTCCGCATCCAAACCAAGCCTCCAACTCCCCACACAACAAGATCCCCACCCCAACCCCAACCTAACTACCAGAAAATGCAACAAATCGTTATACATTCAAATCAATTCAAATCTAATCCAGCTCACCCGGTTCCATTATTTCCCTTCCCTCCCATTCCCATCGACGAATATTTGATTTGTTTGCCTGGGTAAATTTGTCCTCCAATCCTTCTTGATTGATTGCCATAGTCAAAACCTAATATTCAAGGTCAAAAATCAAATACACCCCACTACGCTCCCCACTACATCATATTCGTTCTTATTCGACCATGGGTATCGTGATCTGGTGTGATGCTCCTTATAGAGCTTGTCGCTTTGGTATGAACGTTCTGCTGATTTCGCATACATCTATCGATGCCGCAAGTGATCGCATGCATTCGCCCCCATGGTAATTCTCGGGCCCAACAATTCCTCGATAATCACTTTCGAATCGAATCCAAGGTCTCTTAATTCCAAATCACTTCAATCTCGTGATTATCCATCAAAAATCTCCTCATTGCGAATTCAAAGCTTCATTCATCCCCTCATCCTTTCATTCAATAACCATCTTTCTGAAACCTCCTACCATCGTCCAACCTAATGCTCTCAAAGCACTTGGATCTTTCGCTCGAATAATTGTGCAGGCTGGTAACATTGGATTCGTCGGATCCACATGTGATGCATCTTTTGCTGCTTGTTCAATTGCATCCATTTCCTCTTTACACTCTTGTTCATTCAATGGACATACCGTAATTGGTTGACGATGAGTAATATCTCGAGCACCGGAGAGGTGAACCTGCAAATTGTAATAGTTTAGAAAATTTGAATGAGGAAGTTGAAACAGTTCGACTAGTAAAATATGTGAATGAGAGAAGAAAAATGTATATACCTTTATAACGAGAAAAAACTCAATCTTGTATAAGGTCCCCGTGGTCGTAAATGAATTGACAAAATGCATTGGAAATGCAGCTTTTCCTCTCCGAATAATTCCCTCCGAATCTCTCAAATCCTTCGATGGATATATCAGCCCTAGAGTCGTGAAATACCCAGCCTCTGGCAATTTTGCTCCCACCGTCGCCGTCTGCTTAGCTATGCGATTGATTTTCTTCGTTGGTTCATCTCCTTCTGGATTATATGTAATCTCCTCTTCTATGCCAATTGTGATCTTTTGAATGACTACTTTTGTAGCTTTCTTCATGTAAAGGGAGTTTGGAAATAAATGGATGTAAACGCTAACTGGGTCCGAAGGGCCAAATGACCATCGAGGTATTGTAATTCTCATAGTAACCAGATGATCCGTATTCTTCTCTGCAGATTCTGGTCGATTATACATGCCAAAGGTTGAAAGAGTATCATATCTCTGCATCGGGACTGGAAAGGCGAATTTCTTTTGATCTTGTCCTTGTTGAACCGTAACCACCAACTCATAATAAGTTTCCGCCGTGCGACTTGGTAATTGTAAACTCGCCGGTGGGATCCTTCGATTCGATTCCTCTCCACCCCTTCCAAATGGTATGAATAATACGAAAGGTAGATCCATCAGCACCACACTTTCGCTCTCCTTTCCGGCCGTACATCGAAACAATAATAACTCCTTCCCAACTACATCTGTCGTTTCTCTCCGAGGTGTCCCCAAGTGTTTCTTCGCTATCGATTCCGCAGATGGATGAACCGTTTCTCTTCGCTGTAAACATATTCGTACCAACGATATCGCTATCGGCGCAGAAATTCCAGTGAGGGGTCGAATCTCTACTTTACCCTCTATCCTAGGCTAGAAATCCCCGAATTAATACCATCCCCTCCAAGAAATCACAATTGCAAAACCAAACCTTCAATCAAAGAAATAGAGATCACCTACAAGCGTAGCAGAAATACCCGGATAACCAACCAGAAAATTACTGTTTGGTGGTCCGGAGACACGGACAAAGGCAGACATATCGTGCACACCCAAAGATCACTGGCGCCACCGCGCAGGTTTGCGCCAAATGGAAAACAATGTTGATGAGCAGTGTGGGTTGTGTTGAAAGCTCGAGTCTCATATGTAGGTATGATATGTATGTATGTATGCGGTAAGTTTGTTTGCGCGAATTGTGGGGTTGCGTGTCGGTGATATAGCTTTCGTCGTCACCATATAAGCAAGGCTCAGCTCTTGTTTTTTTTTATGGGTGGATAGGTTGTTTTCTTCGTAGGTGAGATTAAGATTACTAAGTAAGTGAAGATTGATTGTGACGATCGATTCGCATGTATGAAATGGAGTAAGAGAGTCTTGGGATCCTCTCAGTTTGTTGGGGGAAAGTAGAGTTGGTTTTATATTTCTTTGAATGGAAGCTGGGAGAAATATCAAGAGATAGCTGGTAGATTTGAGAGGACGATTGTGTTGTGTGACGGAGAAGTTTCCTTTAATGGATGATGGAATGAATGAGTGGGTGAAGGAAGAAATGGTGTGAGAATAAGATAGATGATAAGTCTTGAAAGGAATAGGGAGTTTGTAAATTAAAATCGAGATGCAGTAATAATTGCAAGCGGTTATTCTTTCATGGATGGATGTGGATGTGGATGTGGATGTAATTGAGATTGTAATATATGGAGGAAGGATAGCTAGGTAGATGAGGAGATGGGGAGATGGGTAGCTGGGTAGATTGAGTAGCTGGGTAGCTGAACGACTGAACGACTGAACAACTGAACAACTGAACAATAGCTGGATCGACGTTGATGTTGTAAGGGTTACCTTGGATAGAGAGAGGACGGATGAGGAAGAGTGAGACAGGGAGAGTGAGAGTGAGAGTGAGAGTAAAAGTAAAAGTAAAAGTCGAGAAGAGAAGAGTTCAAGAGATTAAGATGGATTGATGCTTTCGTCTAGTCCAGACTTCTCTTCTCTGTGATCAATCAATCATATCTTTCTCTCAAGCATCAAAGTAAATGCGAAACATATGATGAAATCTAGCAACAAGGCGTATCTAGATGCAAAAGTATAAAATCCATCACGATATCGGCGTATCATACATATCATCAAACCATACAAAGAGTTTCAATCTATTATTTACTAGGGAGGTATATTAAGAATGTATATTACTAAGTAGGATTTCTTGTTTACTGAGGGGTATTATTTATAAAAAAACATATGTATATATATATCTAAAATACCTACCTACCTATATATAATATCTATTCATTTATATATACTCAAAAGAAATATAATAAACAGGTCAATAACCCTCATATAAAATCCCAATTCAAATCCCATCCATTCATCCAAAGATCTCCTTTAATCTCAACTCAAAATAAACAACAACAAGCTTCTGAAGATCCGATCCACAAAACCATGGCCCTACCATATCATATCCCATATCCAATCCCATCCCATCCAATCCCATCCAATCCCATCCCACCCCGCCAATCCCGCCCTCTCACAAGCAAATAATTCCAATGTTACCTTTCATCCTTTCCTTACTAATATATAATACTTCCATTCCCGATAACCATAAAATTTATTCCTTCTTTGTCAGCCTTCTCTCCCCATCCAGCCTTCTCGCCCCTTCCAGCCTTGTCTATCCATGGATCTATCCACAACCTTACACATCTGACCTCATAAAAAATCCCACCAACCTTCTCTTCTCTCAGCCTTCTTTCTCCATACACCAATCTTCCAAATAAACAACTACCTAGTATACCCACCTGCATCTACATCTATCCATTCCCACTGCATCAATTCTCACCAGCCAGCACCCAGAAATAAATATCAAACCCACACATACATACCTATACATACACATCATCACCCATAGCCATAAACCAACACATACATAAAAAAAGATGTCAGTAACTCTACACACCAGCCTAGGCAATATCAAAATCGAAGTATTTTGCGACAGTGTACCCAAAACGGCAGAGGTAAATCCCCTCATTCTTTTTCTCCCATCTCTTTATATCATATCAAAAGCTTTCTTTCAATCCAATCAAATCCAATTGAATTGAAGAAAGACGCTCCGCTAGGCCACTGCCGTGGTGGCTTTTTCGCTACGCTCTATGAATGATTTTTTTACATTCCTCGTCTTCTCCAATCTACTCTACACCCAACTAACCCCCTCCTCCCCAGAACTTCCTCGCCCTCTGCGCCTCCCACTACTACGACTCTTCCCCCTTCCACCGACTAATCCCCACCTTCATGATCCAAACCGGCGCTCCCTCGCCCTCCAACCCCCTTCTTCCCTCTCCTCCCCCTCCAAAAGGCGGCACCTCCATCTGGGACGTTCCTTTCGCCGACGAAATCCGACCTTCCCTGCGCCACCACGCCCGCGGTATCGTCTCCATGGCCAACAAAGGTCCCGAAACGAACGGCTCTCAATTTTTTATCCTCTTTGCCCCCGCGCCGCATCTCGATGGCCAGAATACCGTGTTTGGACATGTGATTGGGGAGGAGAGTTTGAGGGTTTTGGGAGAGTTGGAGGGGTTAGAGGTCGATAGGAAGAATAGACCTAAGGAGAAGGTGGTGATTGAGAGCGTGACGGTGCATGCTAATCCGCTGGCGGGGTGATATTTTAGGATTTGATTTAGGTTTGAGACGTAGAAGGAGGGAGTGAGAGGCTAGTATGATATGATATAATATCCAACGAGCTGAGCTGGGAAGGAAAAGAAAAGAAAATTAAGCTGGATAAATGGATGAATAGATGGAAGTAGCGAAACCACTCCATCAAACAACGAAGCGAATGAATCGGTCTCGAATACCCCGCGGAAAATAGATACGTGCATTTCCTTTCCTTTCGCTTCGGTGCGTTACACACAAATACACATACAAACGAATCATACACATCCCATCACAGCCCATCCCATGACGAAAATAACATGGAAGACTAGCTCGAGAAATCTAAACTAGACTAGACCAGACTCGACTAGACAGAAAGACATACCATGTGTCAGATCAGATCAGATCAGATCAGATCCAGCTCCAGATCCAGATCCAGGTCAGCGTAACACAAAAATATAGTGCCGACAGAGACTAGCCAACTAGCCAGCTCGCCAGTTAGCCTTACAGAAATGCGAGATTTGGGAACCGTAAGCGACTGATGCGGTTGCGGTTGCGGTAGCGGTTGCGGTAGCATCTAGATCGCCACACCACCCTGCACTGCACTACCTACACTGCATTCGATGTGTAACCATGGTTGGGGGCCAAGGGGCCGAAAGGGAAAATTACTGGGGAGACTGGAATGGAATGGAATGATTGAGATTGAGATTGAGAGTGAGAGTGAGTGTGAGTGTGAGATACCCAAATAGATAGATTATTACAATGGAGATGGCGATGATGAATGGACGAATTCATGATCATTAGAATTTATCGATATTAATAGTTTCAGGTACCTACCTACCTAGGTGGTTTGCATTCTTATGGATATCGCAAGTTGAGATTCATATTTAATATGAGTAATATACCAAATAAGAAATTACCAACTATAAAATTCTCAATTCACACTCAGAGAATACATATGCAATTGGATATTCGCAGATTCATAACCATGACCTAATTGAAATCAAGCAAGCTTGCAATTAAATGTTATTTGACTACCGAAACGCCTCATGACATACCACCTACCTAGTACACATCATAAAAATCTACGTACCACCAAACTCCTAGAGTACTTGGGTAGTATCATCCAGTACACTGTCCGAATCGCACGAGTGAAAGTGACACCCCAAGCTCAAGACCATAAGATAGAGCCTATAATATTCATCGCCATACTTTCATACGCCCATACCCAAACCGATAACCTCGAAGATGATCGGGTTTCCTTCGACTGCTAGCCAAGCGATACCTAAAAAGTTGTCAGTTAGTAATTCAATGGCCGTATTCTCACATAAACTTACCACTATAAACCACGAGTTTCGTGACTACCTCGACATCATATCTCACGCGAGGTTTTTCTAGCCTAGAAAACATTTCTGTTTCATCTAGCTCGTTTTCTTGCCCAACGGTAATCTCATCTTCTGCAGCATCATCACCCTCTAGACCCGGAGTGGATACCCCTGGAGTATACATAACACGACCTGCACCCATCATCTGTTCATAAGAGCCGACTCTGGATTGTGCTGGAGTCGGCAAATTCATGTTCCCATGAATCGATGACATTCCAGATGATACAGCGCCATCCATTGTCGGTTGCTTGGAGCCAAAATAATCTTTGGCTTCTTTCGTAGCTGTTTGACGTGGAGTCATACCCTCAAATACGTCAGTAAGACTATCTCTCCGTCTTTTCTCTCGATAAGCAAGAGTTTCGTATGCATCGGCAGCTGATTGAGGTCCAACGGATACAGCTCGGCCTCGTCCAGCATGTCGTATAGACGAGATCAAACTTGGTAAGTCGGATACAGATGGCATAACATTATCCACCTTAAGTCTTGATGGAATATTGTTATATTCTGAAGCAGGCATAAAGAATTTTCGAGGCAAGATCAAGCCCGTGTTCTCGAAGGCTCGGAAAATATGTGGGAGTAATTTCAACAATGTTGGTTTCATGACTTCTCTCCAAGCAAAGATAACCAATACACCAATGAGAACTCGTAGTATCACAATTACCCAGCCCATATGATGTAGATCGAATGGTACTGTCGCTGGAACTGGAACATCCCAGGCCCAACCACCAGAAGCATAATGCCAACCTCCAAGTTCAACACCTATCATAACCGCGGCGAATGCGACACTATCATCAAAACATGGGCAATCATCAGCTGGCTCTGGGTGAACTCTTATCAAAAGAATGATGACTATGGCAATCGTCACAGGAGCCTTCCAGGTACTGCTGTGGAGATAATTGTCAATCGCTGATCCGTATACGCATTCGACGACAGAAATGAGTGCTCCAATAACACTTCCAACAATTACATCCACAAATCCATGCATTCCGCAATAAAGTCGTCCAAGTACGATAGAGAAGGCATACGAATAGCTCACAATCTCTAAGGCCAGTTTCGTTGGAGGAAGCAGTTGACATTCTGGAGAATGAAGAGTAAAAAGAGCATATACAGCCACCGAGACTGCATTGGCGGAATGTGTCGAAGGAAATCCATATTCGAGTGCAGCAGAACCCGACATAGTGATGCGATGGAGAGGTGGGGATAGTGGTCGAGGTAGTGAGAACATATCTTTGATGAACCCGGTTATGAAGACTCCCGTTGCCAATATATGAACCATCCTGGATTTCAATCAGCGAATGTCTGCGAGTACCCGTCAAGAAATTTATTACCCTCTTCCCAAAGATGTATGTCCACACCAGAACAGGATTGGCAGTACAATCATGAAGAAAGTATGCGTTCCAAGGTTTGCAGTGACAGCGAAATAAGTATCGAGTGCTGGACATCGCATCTTATCCTGCATCCAAGCCAGGTATGGAGTCTCCCATCGAACCAAAGGCAATAAAGCCTGTCGCATATTGTATCGCCATGGTGGAAGTTTGCGCTTGTCTGCGGGGTCGTTATCAGTATACCTTCAGTGATCAATTGTGATGCGAACATATGAAACATCCTCAACGACTCTGGGAGAAGTTTTGAGTCAACCTGGTATTGCTAAAGATATTGGATTGCGCAATCATTGTCTCAATAGCCAGATAACGAAATGTAGCAAAGGGGGCAATGCGCGCAGAAGTAATTCCATAATCACTATACTCACAGTGATTTAAACTTTTCAAGCCGGCATCAATGATCTCTGTGGGAGGGGCCGTAAGTGAAATCGATGGAGGTTGAGTATTATTATTCGATTTCTCAAGCTCTAGGCCGTCGCCATTTGGAGTCGGACACATGGATGCATTCGTTGAAGCAGCATCTATATATTGTGCCCGCTTGAGATGTGAAAAGTCTTGTCTTACAGAAAAGTAAGAGATTGAAGTAATTGGTCAGAAGAATGAATGGAAGAGAGGGGAAAATTCCTAATCAAGGAAAGTAAAAGAAAAAGGAAAAAGAAGAAGAAAAATGAGCGACAGGAAAATGTGTTCTCACTCAATAATACCTAGCAATGTCTAGGTACGAGTAAGATGAGAAGAGGATTGTTTTAGGTGAAGTCTGCTATTTTAGAAAATAGGAAACACCTTTCTTTCCCTGGTGGAAAAAAGCGTTAAAAGGTTAATAAGATTATCCTTATCATTTCGATGAAATCTTGGGGTTGAGCGGGATTTGATACACCATCAAGGATTTAACAATTGCTTGGGTGATTTGATATGATACCGGTATGATTGGAGTTGATTTGATTGATCGATTTGATCTTCCATTGACGCCTTGGAGTAGGTAGGTAGGTAGGTAGGTGTGTATCACTGACTGCCAATTTCTTATCGCTCTTGGATTATGAGTTGATCTTTTATCGCATCGCATTGCTTGACTCTCCAGATCCAGCTATCCATGATATCCATGGATTCATGAATACCGGTATGCATCGTCAAAGCCTTCCAAGGTTTTCAACCGGAGACTTCAGCCTTTCGCAATACCGGGCGGTATGGGATTTCACGAGCCACATGTTGATCAGCCACACACATCTACGTCGGCCGGGCTTCATGAGCCACCCCATTAGGTAATCACATATCCTACAGCCACCGGTGAGCCACATTCAAAGTTTATGTCATCATACCTGCCACATACCTGCCACATTTATTTTAGGGTGGAGTGGATGAAGCTTGGAAGTTGCCAGAGCAACCGATGATCCATGCAAATGTAAATAAGTCTAACATTCGAGTAACTTCCTATCCAAAAATCCACCCGTACCCCGTTCCCAAACCCAAACCCAAACCCAAACCCAAAATTGCTAACTTATCAACACCAGCCTTAAAGGGATCATTTTCAAGACTTTCATCCATTCTTGAAATCCATACCATTTTACACTATTCATTCCATACACTCAAGCCACAACCCCATTACCATTCATCCAAACTTTATTCCATCATCAATTATTTCAATTTCAAACGTACAATAATACCTAGCACTTATAACAGTAGCCATACCTAGCTATTAGGATTAGGGTGTCTGAGAAGGAAACGCTCTCGTCATTGGAAAGTCAATCATTGTCTCGACTCGCATTCACTTACTTCACTCGTACACCTTCGTCACAAAGCGACGCCTTAATTCTCCAGACCAGACGACCACAAAAGCATGGCTACGCAATATCAACCAAATCAATATTCAAGGCGTGAAAGTGTAACCGAAAAATACGACGCGAGTCCAAGAAAGAAAATTACCCAACGTCGCGAACAAAGTCAAAGATCCAGTGACGGAACGGTTAGCACAATGATGAGCAATGCTTCCACGGGAAGGGAATCGGCAGCTACACATATGACAGAAGGTCCTTCATATTCGAAAAAAATTGTGGTGGTTGGTGATGGTGGATGCGGGAAGACTTGTCTTTTGATAAGTTACAGTCAAGGATATTTCCCAGAAGTATGTTGTGCTTGAAGCTCAACCTTCGTAGGTATATGGCTAATACTTTCTCAGAAATATGTTCCAACTGTATTCGAGAATTATATCACATACCCAACGCATCGGCAGACCGGCAAGACACTCGAATTGGCGTTATGGGATACTGCAGGACAAGAGGAATATGATCGTCTCCGTCCATTATCATACCCGGAGACAGATTTGTTGTTTGTTTGTTTCGCGATCGACTGCCCAAATTCCCTCGAGAATGTTATGGATAAGGTAAGATGAGAAAAGGGATTCATGTTGATCCATCCATCATACTAATTGACTCGATAGTGGTATCCCGAAGTATTACACTTTTGCCCATACACACCTCTTATCCTCGTCGGTCTGAAGTCCGACTTGAGAACGAAACGTTCTTGTATTGATCTCCTCAAAACCCAAGGTCTCACACCCGTCACCACGGAACAAGGAATGGCAGTTGCAAGAAAGATGGGAGCGCGTTATATGGAGTGCAGTAGTAAAGAAATGACTGGTGTGGAAGAAATTTTTACCGAAGCCATCAACACAGTTGTTGTCAACGATCGAAGCAACCAACAAAATACATCCTCATCTACTCCACCCGGTACATCAGGTTCGCAAGGTGTAATCATCCCGAAAAAGAAGAAGCGCAGTTGTCGATTCTTGTAATAATCCATCCTTCACCAAATCATCACCATTACGCATCCAAACAAAGTACGACATGAGCATGATATTTTGAAACGACATACGAACTGCATAACATAACGAGGAGTGTATAATTGTGAAAATCTGCAACTATTGGGCAGATTTTAGGAAATTGAGCATTGCATCAAATAGCATTGCGACATGGTCATTAGCCTTTTTATTCTTTTCCTACTTCTTTTTTCATCGCACTCTCATACCGCTGGAGCTGGACTGGACTGGACTTTCTCCGGTAATCTTTTTATTTTAGGCTTCTTTGATCTGCGTGGGTTTTTGGACTTTCTTGTGAATCAGTTAGGGAATTGAGGGAACTGTGAACACAACAAACTGATTATGGGCGAGCGTATCGTATCGACTCTTTCTTATGTACAACGAAACTTTGTGGGTAGACAATGCATATCATACTCTTAACGTATACATAATTTATTGATTTTCGAGCTTATTTTATTGCAGAAGTTGCGAACTCCTTCGTTTCGGTGAGATATGTGAAAATCGTGAGAAATCTAGTAGAATGAAACGTAACAAAGGGTATCAATCATACTCCAGTCCAGAACTCCTCTTGCCATGTCATCTTTATCATGATATGTGCAGTCCATAGGCCCGATCCAATTCGGCACATCCAAACCTTCCCTTCCCTTCCCTTCCTCTCAACTCGTAGACTTAAACCCGTGTATCATCTTCCATAATCGTTTCTTCTCCCTCGTGCTCTTCGCGTTTACTGCTACTGTGGTGTTGGTGTTGGTGTTGTTGCTGTACTTCTTCTTCGGGCGGGGATTCAGAGGAGGGATCTTTGGCCATGACGTTTTCGAATTGGGACCAGAGGGCTTCGACGGAGGAGAATTCATTGCCGACCTATTGGGGGGAAGGGGGGGAGAGTTAGTGGGGGTTGGGAGAGGATGGGGGAGGGGGAGAGGGGGAGAGGGGGATAACATACAGCAATTACACCTTCTAGAGATCGATTCAGTTTATTGATACTGGAGAGGACGTGTTCGAATGACTAGATGGGGGGAGGGCAGGGAGGGTTAGTGAGTTCGTTTTTTTTTCGCTTTGGTTTTTTGTTTTTGAAGGGGTTTACACGTTTTGAGTTCTTGATTGGGGTGAGGGGGGCAAGGAGAAAGGGGTAAGGGAATTCAGAGGGGGGAATGAGAGGGGGAGGGGGAGGGGGAGAAGAAGAAAACATACAATAGCTATTTCTCCCAGTAAGATCTCGCGCTGCTGTTCGAAATATGATTTTTCGGGAGGAGTTGAGGAGCGGGGGAATCGACTGGTTGAGGAGGACATTTTTGGGTGGGGGGGAGGGGGGTTGGATGGGATTGAGAGAAGTTGAGGGGTGAGGTTGTAGTGGGATGGGATGGTGATATGGATATGGATATGGATAATACCTACGATAGTAGGTAGTTTATCGTTTGCGCGCGGATTACCTAGTACCAGTAGGTATTTTTGGTGGGGTGTGTGAGGATGTGTGAGGATTATGGGGTGGGGTGAGGATAGGGAGGTCGCGTCGCTACGAAGGTATTTATTTATAGGAGAAACGGAGAGTAAAATTAATATAAATTCCTTATATTATAAGTTTTGGAATGAAATGAATATATATATATAAATATATATATTTATCAACTATAAATACGATTACGGTTATAAGAGTCGATTAATGAATTAACTAGATGAAATAAATCTTTAGATAATATTTTATAATAAAGAGATAGATTTTAGTATTTATTTTATATATATTTAATTGAATATTATAATATTCTTCTAGTTTATTAAATATGTTATTAATAGCTTTTATTTTAAATCTAGTAGGATTTTCCTATAATTAATAGTCTTTACTTGTTTAAAAATAAATTAGTATTTAATAACTCTTTAGTTTATAAAAGAAGGAACTATAAATACTATATATACTTATTACGCGACCTATAAGTTATATACTTTCTATATATATTATAAATAAAAATATAAGAGAATATACTTAGAACTAAAGTATATAAATATAAAGAATTAAAGTAGAAGAAAAAATATTAATTATCTTCTTATAAGTTTTTAAGAAGAGGGACTATAAATGCTAGCTTAAACATCACGTGATTTTCAAATCTCGTTTTCCGTATACATTACTATCTAGTATTTATAAGAGGATGATACTAGAATATAGAAAAAAGAAGCGGGGTATAAAGGTAACGCTAGTATACAGGGTATATAGAAGAAATCGTGAATTTTGAAATTAATCAATGATAAGTATAAATGGAGGAGCATGGTAAAGAAGATGGAAAGAGTTAAGCTGTGTCGTTTCCCATGAGGGGTGGATGACATTGATTATTTTTGTGTCTATTATTTTTAAGTCTGTCATTGCCTTGTATTTGTTGAGCTCGTTCATCAGGGCTTGATCTGCTGCAGATTTAGGTGAGATTCTATCTACATGATACCTTGCAATCTGATGTATAGTCATTCTGATATGTATTATACACATTCAAAGCTCCAATGATAGTTCAAGGAGGTAGTAAAAAGGATCACACTGATAGTCCAAGCAATTCTAAGGTTGGTACTTGATTTCCCGCCCTACTGCGAGTATGCAAAAGGAAGTATCGACTCTTGGACACCCCATCATTCGAAAGTCAAATTTGTGATCGAAAATACATTCTTCGGCCATTGCCTCAATTGCTTTCTCTTTTTGCTATCCATAACAAGACTGAAAACCCGGATCAGGACGACCGATGGGCTTGTCCAGACTCCTGGTTCCCTAATGTTGAGTATGAGGAAGCTTGAGATGGCTTCTTTGATTTGAACTCGGGCATTTCGATAGTGGCAACATTCTTGCCGCTTCCAACCAATGATCTAGTTGAATGCATGGAATTTGGTTGCTCGAGGCCCGATGACGGGATGTTGGACGCCTCGGACCTTCTCAGTCGATGTAAAATTCCATACTGTAGTGTTGAGTAGAAGCGGCTTTTGATAACTGTGCCGATATAGAACGTGGAGAGGGCAGGTATACAGCTAATGATGACAAGGGCAAACGTTTCAGCATATCTGATTAGATATACATTAGTAACTGTATGAATGTACTCCATCCTTCTTTCAATCCAACCATTGCAATGATTGTGGCTTACACAGTAATGATAGCAATCATGCCAACCCAGAAAGGATCTCCGTGTTCTCCAAGAACGCCGTACGTTTTATAAGCTATGCCAACACAATCCGCAATGATAATCCTGAAGTGATGTCAGCAACTTCAGTTACTCAGAATGATGAAATCTTCGAAAGAGATTTTCATATGAACGACTTACAGAGCTCCAAAACAAAAGACCCCATAGATGGCTCGCCTTTTTTGGGGAGACATATTTAAGGTAGGCACAACAGCCATGGGAACGAGGAATAGCACGATGTCAACTATGGTGGAACAGACAGCATTGGCGATAGCTGAAGATGCAGTTTTCTCGGTCCTCAAAAGGGCAACTTGGATATTGTTGACATCACCTTTTCTAGGAGTGTACCAATATATGGCGATTCCAATATTTTGGACCTGTATCAAGAAGAGGAATATATAAAGACTGTAGGACACAATGCGAACCCATTTGAGAACACCAAAAATGCGTTTATAAACAATGATGATGGCTGATGTGATGGCAAACTTGACCGGCGATATCAGGATTTGGGACGCGAACTGTCTCTGAGATCAGGGAGATGAGTGTCTTGCCGAGTCAATGTGACATTAAAGAGATCTTACATTGGTATAAGAGTCGGAGAGGAAGGAAAGAGGTACATCGCAACTGTGTCTTCCTCAACCTTCCGCTGCCACTGATTACCACGCCGGTAGGTAAGTGAATTATATGATTCCCCAATATCCAATAGCGCCTATGAGTCCAAAGATGGAGCAATCTAGAAAATACATCAGTGAATATTTAATAACAGTAAAGGTTGATATCTCACAGTCGTCAAGATGTAGTCTCTTTCTTTGCTTCAAGCTAGTATACACTCGAGTACAAACGCATAACGTGCTGATTATGATGAGAAGTATACCCGTCCCAAGAACTGTTGGAGCCTGAGTGGGAGGATCAATGAAGTTTGGTGGAGCTCCACTGGGGTTCACAGATAGAGGGGTTGTGTTTGGATCAAGGATTGGAGTAGTCATTGTGTTCCAAAGTGTCGGGTAGATGCTTCCAGGAATCGAGGCATTACTGTGATCATGAAAATGGGCTAATGATTTCATCTTTTATCTAATTTAGTGTACGTACATGCTATGCCTCATATATTGACACTGAATCGTGGGCGCCAACTATATGCACCGGTGAGGCTAAGGATAAGGCTCCCAAGCATCTACATAGAGTTTTCCTTGTTAAATACAGATTGCTAGGAGGTTTGAAGGTTGTAACGTCGTATCAGTGAGTATCAGACTGTGCCACATGCACTGGTAAGCACTGCAGCTGGGTAATTAATTCCCATAAGTTGACCGTCTGAGAATACTAGAATATCCAATTATCATGAGGCTCGTCTAACCATTATAGGCCGATTTACTTATCCCCTAAGGTGCGAGGGTGCGAGCGTAGGATACCTTAAGTGCCCCGTGCACGAGCTCAACCATCAATAATATAATTTATAATATTATAAATAAATATCTTTTCATTAAGTTTGAAAACTGAAATTTATTAGAAAAATGATAATCAATATATCAAAAATATTCTAATATTTTTTTTTAATTGAAAAACAATCACTGAATAATTTTAAAAATATTATTATATTTCATTTCTTAAAACAAGAAATATTCACAATCGATTTCTAGACAAATCTTAAATTCCTGATGTTCTGATTGGTCATAGATCCCTGTATAAGCGAGGTGTCCTCTGTTCGCATCTTAGGGGATATGTTCTTGGCAATGCCTACCTAGTCGCGTAACACGGGACTATTCCACCCGAGGGTGGTAAGCAGAACACACGGAGGCAGTGAATGCGAGTATGCGCTTTTAATTGCAACTACACAGTCTTAGCGATAAATATAAAAAGGGTACTTTGTTAGAGTGTAATCTTTATTTCCCATCACAACCATATCGATCCCACTCACAATCCATTCGCAACCCTTACGCAATAGTGAACACCGAAGAATACGTACCATCATCATGCTCAATCACTTCTCATGGCGGCACATTCCGGCCCTCTTGACTGCGGCCCCTATGTTCCTGGGGGGACTATTTCATGGTCTTCTTGAACCAAAAGCCGCCCTCCTCACATGGGGTATGGTGGAGGAGGTTGCTCAATCACGCGAGGCTCAGATTGTCTATTACGGACACACGATGAGAACTAGTACACTGGGCCTCTTGGTCTTTGCTTTCTATGCTCAGGGCAATCTCACTGCCGTCGACACAACAATGTCAATTATGGGAATCTATTGCGGCATTGCTGATGTCTTGATAATCTGGTATAAGGGAAACCGGGGTGTGATTCCTGTACGACTTTTTAGCGTTCTATGCATTGGTGCATGGGGACTCGCGGGTATGACGGCTTCTTCCCTTCAAAATTAGCTCTAGGCATCATGTACACTATGGCCAGGGTGATATTAAAGGGACTTTGAAGTGGAATTCCCGTTCGCATCCTGGGCATTATCTTTATTGCTGTGTGAGAGCTTACGGTCATTGGCATTGGCAGAGTGGTATTGGGGGAGGGACACAGCACAGACGGTGATACGGAGTGAATCGGATTTGCAATGGACTATCGGTATTGACGAACGAAATCAGAAAACTATCGGATATCTTGGGTGGTAGTCGGCTGGATAAAAATATAAAGACCAGATTTTTGGGTACATCCCTGTCACTGTTTTTATTTTCGCCTCGTTCTTATTCACCTATTGTGGTGATACTTTTCGTTAATGGTAGTAATTGCTTGTGCAGGTGAGATTTGATCACGCTTCTGCACCGAGAATTCGAAACAGCGCCCTATTCATGATGCTTCCTATCATCTCATTAGCTTACAAGCTCAACTTTCCATATATATATACGAAGGATAGACTATTACTCACCATGCAATACGCCCTGTACCCCAGAGCTGCCAATCTGGAACGGACACAAATTCCGATGATTTGCCTAACTCTGGTATCTCGAAATTAGTGGCCTCAAGAATATTTCTGTAGAGGGATGGCTCAACAAATCTGAAGCCGTGAAACTCGGATGACTTTGCATAGTAGGCAGAATCATGATGCATTGCACCAGGAGCTGTACAGACCCATTCGCCGACAGGGACCTGGTGATCGCCGGAAAGTTCAAACGGTTTAAGGGCTACGCGCCGCGTGCTCACTACTTGGTCAAGTCAGATTTTGAGATTTGAAAAAAGTCGTAACATGTTCTTACTAGCTTCGACTGGATTCAGTCGAGATGATTCTTTCATGAAGCTGTCGAGCAACGGGAACCCCTGACCCTTGGATGTATCGAATGACTCCCATCCTACCGATTCAACTTCTTGGCGGATAAGAGGGATATACTCAAGGCGAAGGCAGAAATCATGCAGCACAAAACATGCGGTCTGATCTTGTCAGAATCTGGTCGATCTCACAATAATCAAAAGCATACCGTGGATGTTATGTGGACAGCATTGATTTCTTGGATATGGTCCCAGGTAGAAACAAAATGATAGCGATTCTCTGGAACATCAACGAGGAAAGGTTTCCCATTTGCCTGTCAAATATTGTCAATAATAGTGGTTCTTGATCCAGCGAAGGGGGAAAACCTTTTTGTAGGCATCTTCGATCAAACTCGGGCCTTTGACGAGGAAGAGCCATGCCGCAATGCGTGCGTTGATTGTCAATATTAGTGCCTTCGGCTTGGAAAACCACCCAGCACATATGTACCTAAACCCAAAAACCATCAAGAATACTCCTAAAAAGAAGACTATAATAGCGTTGTCCTGGAGGTCAGTTACAAGAGACAACATGGTTGGTTTTCGATGAATGACTTTTGAAAATTGGGATTTTAGTGAATAAGGAAGTTTAAAGGCATTTCTGATCAGTAACAAGTATTTCAGCGGCTGGGACTATAATAGGAACTTGGAATGGTCAAAACTTTGCAGATATAATCTGATTGGTATATTCTTTGATCAAAACCTAGGGATCAGAGTTAACATGCGTCACATACCTGTCGAAGTTTCAAAGCAGTACCTCTACGCATGTGTGTTCACCCTTGTACATGTAGTCTCCTCCATCATCACAATGCATATCGGACATCTGAATCGTATCAGGCAGGTCAGGCGAACGGGTGTGTGAAATATTCTTGATTTTGTAGAACAATAACATAACTCAACTTAGCCATTCATTGGAAGAGGTGAGCTGCAGATGAAAGATGGGATACCAAAGTCAATGGAGTAGCAGTGACGATGAGGTGGGCAGCCTCAATGCAGCAACAGCCTCGAAAAGGATCAACCTTGACGCATCGATCATTAACATAATTGCCACTTATTCGGTTAATCCATGTCGTTGCTCGCGTGTATTTGATCAGTGAAATTGAAATTTTTGGAGTTGATGGTGGTGAGAATTAAGCCAATTATCAAATTATCAGCATTGACTACCTATTTTATGAATCTTAATTGTAATCGAAAGCCAATTGCATCTAGTATGAGGGTCGCCGGTTGGAAACTTAAAAGATTGCATTCCTATTGGCCGTGTTTCCCACTTTAAATACATTCAAAATGGATGGCTGTAAAACGTCTTGTCTCTTTGCAGGGATATTTAAAATGTCCAACAAACGCCCTCCAAGCCAGATTACTGGCCAAGAGGTTCAAATCAAATTGCAAAAGGTTGGACCGCCGTCTAATTTCGAACAATTGATGGTCGATTTATACACCCGGTACTTCCTCCACCCATTGTATCAGAGAATCATCAATTGCTTCAAACACAAAAAAATCAGTTCGTACGTCCCTCTTGATCCCCCTCATAGCACACGCGCACGCTCTGTCCAGAAGGGGAAACCGCGTGTATGTCGGCCCTAGCTCAGAAAGATGATCTCCCAATACACGTTTCTCAAGAATCAGAGCAACTACCGGTGCAGACTTCGGACGGCATGTTGAAGGTCAAAACAAGAGAAATTAATGGATGCGAGAATCAAGATACCTTCCGGCACTCGTGGGATGTCATGGCAGTGTTTTTCGCGTTGCTACTGCTGTCACTCATGTCTTCTATCGATGCCACTATTGTAACAACAGCCCTTCCCACAATTGCTCGAGAATTCGGTAATGGTCAAGATTATATCTGTGAGTTACTCTTGTCCTTCAATTTTCTGGAAGAAACTTGCCAACATTTAATCATTTAGGGGTCATTAATGGATTTTTATTTGGATCCACTGCGACACAACCACTTTTTGCACAGGTATCTAATATCTTCGGTCGTCGAAATCCGATGATTCTTGCTCTGTTTCTCTTCGCATTAGGCAGTGGAGTCGCTGGCGGTGCACATAACTCAGAGACACTGATCACCGCTCGTACAATCCAAGGCTTGGGTACGAGTGGTTTGTATGTCTTAGCCGATATTATTCTCTGCGATATCATTCCACCACGGCATCGAGGGCCTTACTTAAACGGTGTACTCTCAATGGCTGCCGTCGGCTCGACAGTGGCTCCTGTTATTGGGGGCATTCTGGCGCAGAAAAATTGGCGATGGGTTTTTTGGATAAATCTACCTGTGTCGGCTGTTGGACTCGTGATTATCCTACTATGCCTAAAAGTTAATTACCCGCCAAATCCAAACTGGAAACATGCGCTGGCGGAAGTTGACTTTATTGGTAACGCTATTTTCATACCGAGTATAACTGCAGTACTTCTCGGCCTGGTCATGGGTGGCTCTCAGTTCTCCTGGGGATCGTGGCATATCATTGTTCCCTTAGTCTTTGGCTTCTTGGGATGGGTGGCATTCCTTATCTTTGAGTCTTCCACTCGGTTGTGTAAGCAACCAACAATGCCACCGAGATTGTTCAAACATCGCACATCTGCAGTTAGCTTTGTTCTTATCTTTCTCGGATCTATCATTATAACAGCTGCCAATTACTTTCTTCCTGTGTACTTTCAAGCCGTGAAGAAAGTATCGCCTCTTGATTCTGGAGTTTACTATCTTCCATTTGCGCTCGCTATCATTCCAATTGGTGGCCTTGGTGCAGGATTCATATCCAAGACCGGCCTCTACATACCTCTACATCGGATCGGATTTGCATTGTGTGCCATCGGGGCAGGACTTTTGTCTACTTTGGCAGCATCTTCCAACAGCGGCAGTTGGATTGGGTTCCAAATCATTACATCAAGCGGAGTTGGCCTCATATTTACATCTACCTTGATCTCTACACTTGCACCGTTAAAAGAAGAAGATGTAGCTATTGCTACTGGCGCGTACTCATTCGTGCGCTCTTTCGGCTTTGTGTGGGGATCGACCATTGCTTCAATTGCATTCAACAGCCAGATTAATAGATATCTGGGGATAGTGGAAGATGAGGCAGTGCGTGGCTTGATGGCCAACGGACAGGCATACGCGTACTCAAACAAGGGCACGATTAACGCATTGCCCGCTACCACGCAATCTCAAGTCATAGAGGTTTATGTGAAGGCTCTACGAGTGATTTGGCTGATAATTGCCGCTATCTCCTGCTTTGGATTTTTTTGCACACTTGCAGAAAAGCATGTGGAGTTGAGGAAAGAGAAGAGAAACGAATTCGGGTTAGCTGAGAAGAAGCCAAAGACCGTTGATCAAGGAACAGACCATCTGATTCAGGTCGGAAAATCTAACGAATTATTGGTGGTATGACTGAGTACAATTGGATGACAATGGAATATGCCCAGACGCTTTTGACTGCAATTTACGGGGCCTGCAATGTACTGGTACTATGTTATGATATGGACTTGCAGATTTCAAACCATCGTCTGTTTATTATTAGCCAAATGAGCTAGAAAATTAGTTACAACCATGTAGAACAACTTACTCAAGCAAGCAAGGATTGATATAAATTGTAACTCCCAACATGTTACTTAGCCTCATGCTTCCACACCATTGTGAGTCACGTGCTCGCTAAACCATGATTATAAATGGTATGAGTGATTAATTGGTGTTATAGATTTTGCAGGGCATTAATTATCTGTATATTTTTCAATCCACCCTCTACGTAACCGAAAAAAGCGGCGGAATTTGAATACTCTTTTAAAAATCCTTTTTAATAGTTTATAAATTCATTTCAAATTAAATATTGAAATATGAAAAAAGCTAATGAAAATTTGAGTATTTTTTGTATTGATATTAGGTGTTTTTGTTGGAACACATGAATTAATCATGTGCTAACCCCTCACTGCCGCACGAAGTGTATATATGAGGTAGAACATATATATAATATAATAATACCCTTCTTGTACGAAAAGGGCAGATAATATAATATCATACTATTCTAATCCTATTCATACCTTTCTAAGTCTATCCAACAGTTTTTATTATTTAATATTATATTAAAAAGAGATCTTGATTGTTGAAGTTCTTTTGAATAGTGTTCAACTTCCGCTTTTTTCGGTTACGTAGAGCCTTCTTCCTTGATGGAGGGGCATTTGATTAGCCGAAAACGAGGGGAGGTCAATGCTCAGCGTTATGACTAGCTCTGACAGACCACTTTCCTGCATAGGAGCGGCGTCGAAATTCGTATGAACCTTGATTGTAAGATTTTACATGAAATTTGTAGACTGATTTGGAATTAATGCAACATGGGTATCATGATGGATTTAATTAATTCTGATTTTGATGCTTCCGAGGTCGGTTCTTTCAGACAAATTGGTCAAGGGGCATATCCCAGTATTGGGGCAACAATAAGGCACAGCAGCTGCATGTCTCATTTTAACAAATGATTCGATCGGTGAAAATGTAACGATAGGCGGATTAACGAGCAGAACTTATCTATAAGGATTACCAATCGACAGATCGCATCTGTACAACAATTAATTTGGAATCGAAACGCGTACATTATCCTTCAAAAATTGGTTGCTTCTTTTTCTTTCCATTGCTTGAGTCTACAAACTGTCGATGGTGGGTGGGGGCTGTAGCTACAGTACCATCGCATCTTTCAAGCTTCTGCCTAGAACTGATGCTGAATACTCTTGACCATTATTGGCCGTACCAATTTTCGAGTTCACACCACTTCACATCACCCAACTAGGCAGTTCTAAAGCTGGATCAAATTTGTCAGTTTCCTGTTTAGAATCAATGGCGTTGTATTGATCTTCTGGTAACACTTGTCAAGACCTATGGGCGTGCAGGTAGATTCGCTATATCAAATGAACTGTTTCAGTAATGCATCGGAATAGCTATGATCTGTGACCCCGAGTCAACTCTTGAGGGCCTCAATCGAATCGTGGTCGACGAAAATCTTTCCATAAAAATTGTCAATTGAGCTGTTGTTCTACAAGAAAATGGTACTGGATAAGTGGTAGTTCCAACCACGTTCAAATCTTTCCTTTCTTCCTCCATCCGAGAGTCAGTAATCATGCTCTTCCTTGTTATTGATCTTCTTCAATCTCCCCTCCTCCGCTTCTTTACCTACGTGATACTCGCCTTTACACTTCTTTTCACATGTCTTTTCCGCCGCGCCGGCCACCCTCTTAATGCACCACAGCGACTCCCTGTTTCCAAGAACTATCCAATTCTGGGTGCTGTGCGATTCTTTACTGCACGATGGGAGTTTTTTCGCGAAGGTATGCGTGGCTCAAGGTCAGGAAATTGTTTGAAGATCAAATTTGTATTCGTTGAACAGAGAGAGGATGAATGAATGGGTTTATTTGCTGTTTATCGATCTGGTACTCATGAGGGGGTGTTTAGCGGCGATAGAGTTTGATATTGTTGTAATTTGACTTGTGGGACGCTGACGATAATAATGATGGCGATGATCAGAGTTCTAGGGTATCCAATAGTCCAGATTGTAGTTGAGTAATACAATGTTTTGAAGATTGGAAAGCAATTAGAAATTTGAAGATAGTTCGATGTTTTAATCAAATTCAATATCTCGAACGATTTGAATGTTCTAATTGGTTTGGGGATTGGATTGTATTTATTGCTGGATTGTAATCCGGATTATGAGACACCCTGCTTGTATATAAAAGAGCTTGTTGATCTATAGAATGCAGCTATGTTTAGAGTCTGTTATTATGAGTATTGGTTGGTTGGATTTGACTATGAGTTATGAAAGAGGGTAATACTTACTTCATTTTTAATTTAATTACATTATAATCAAGTTGTATTTGGACGGTGGTTTGTGTCCTATTAGATATGTACCTGGCAGGTCTTTGTATGTATTTGAACACTCCACGAAAGATTTATTCCCCTATGGTAGACGATCTGCAAAAGCACTAATCACAAAGTATTATCATTGAAAAGATCGAAAGCTACAAGTACCCTCTCCATTATCAAGCCATGTTAATAAGCAATTGCGCGCCGTCTTCAGTATGCAATCGCCAATGATTCTGCTTCGATTTCCACCACCGTTCCATCTAGCTCCCGGAGTAGGCACGATATCCGTACTCCCATCGAACCCAACTCACGCATCCGATTTCTCAACCTCCTCAAAGTAATTACTCATCTCATTCAACGGATTACTCTTCTCCAACGCCGTCGTCCCATGCCTCGCTACCTGAATCACATATCCCATGTTAACCAGCAGCTCCAATCTCAACTCTTCCGGAAAATCCTTCGCATTCGTTTCGAACAATAAAGGCGGCATTTCCCACGTCAGTAAATCAAGAAGGAATTTGCGTATCAGCATACCCTTGGTTGTATATTTCCACATGTAGGAAAGCCATGGTGTCATAATGTACCCCGTGGCTTTGGTAAATCTGTAGTACTTTGCAATGCACTGGTTCTTGAGTAGTGGTAACTTGGCCATGTCGGCAAATAGATACAAATCGAGAAGATTGGCCATGTGTGGATAACAGAAGTTTGTCAGCGCGACATTGCTGGTGGCATTGAGATCTCCGCCTATCATCTCCAGAATCTCGTTCTTCTGCGAATCGCGAATTTTCTTGGTGTTTCCCTTTCCCTTCGAAGTGTCCAAATCGATGAGCGGTCCTTCATCAACCTTTTGCGCCTCCTCCCCAGTTTTCACCTTCCTAGCTTTCCATTGCGCAATTTCTTCATCAGCATCACCTAAATCCAGCTTGTAAAGCCAGGTCTTAAACAACTTGAACACCACATCGTTTGTTTGTGGAAAGTTGATAGCGCTGTGATCAAGTCCTCGAGAATAGTGTTCGCAAGCCCCTTTGAGAAATGGGGCATGTCGGTATAAAATATCTTTTTCGAGTGTGTATAAGTTTTTATGCTTGCCTACTCTGACTTGAATTGTATTGCGTTCTTTCTCTCTGGGGTGGGTTAGATAGTGTTTCCATACTTCCGCTCTCTTGTGCAGTGTATGAAAGCTCTACAAGATGAAGGACGATCGGACTTACTTTTGCTTTTCGATTAGAGCTTTGATGGTTGGGGAATTGCGACTTGGAAGTGACATCTTAATTTTTCTCTATTATCAGTCTTTGGAATTTGTGAATGTCTAGCTGAATCTTGTATATTGAGTTGTGAAGAAAGATTAATCTCAAGTTGATTTTAAAACACTTAGTACTGCTGTGTTTTTCAACTTTCTGTAGATAGAGTATTTGTATGCAAAACTATCTTATAGAAAAGTTGTATATACAAGTATATGAATCTCTCAGTCCATTTACGAGATACTTTATAAACATATGAACTTCGTTATAGCCGTACAGAAGCGAGGAGTAAATACGGTTCATATCAGATTTGAGTTCTCGGGAATCCAGGATCCTGATTGTATAATATACGCTGAGAGATCAGTTTATTGGATTAAAGAGTGTTTGCATATAATACATTCATACGATGAAATGGAGAAGTTAGTTCATATGACTTGTTGACGTAGAAAATTAAAAAAGTGTTGGTTCGCTTGTAAATGTTTGATTTTTTGTATGTAGAACACAGACGTTTAGTTTTGTATTGTGTCTAATCATTTGGAGTGTAATTAAATATGGAGTTTTCAAGATAGAAAGTCCTGAGGGTACTGTGACTCTTCTCTTTGATTAGTTTATTAGCAGGTGAAATACTACAAATTACATACAGTGTTCGACTTGTGTAATTATCATACTGTTACCTAGACCTCCTTTTGTTCTGGATAAAAGTGAATTCACATTCATTTCAACATTTATGAATTTATACTGGTTTGTTTGTCTGAAATCTAGATGTGAATCAATCGTATTTACGACTTCTGATACCTAGGTAGTTGTTAGCCTTTCGGTTACATGACTTACAAAATTACTCTCAATTCCTCAACTTTAAATCTTGATATGGAATTAACAAGATGATGTTGAAAATAGATTTTTGACACAAAATATTTGTCAAACTTGGTTCTAGGCAGGAGGCTTAGACAAAAGTCTGGCTTTTCGACCAGCTCTTCGACCCTAGCGACCACTCATATTGAAAGACCCCCAACCCAAACCTCACCTACTCCTAGCACACACAACCCTATAAATGCGCACTCCGCCCCAAGCTAACCCACCATTCACAACATGTCTCACCATGAAAAGTTCTGGCGCGGCGACGACGACGACGGCAAAAAAGGCAAAAAGCAGGCTCGTCCTCCCGCCAGACAATACAATGAGCGAGGACCCTGGAATACCGTGAGCCACGCTCTCGGCGTCTATGTTTCTCCATGGCATAAATATTCCATACATGTATATCTTATTTTCCATCGATTCGATAACATGCCGTCTGGAAAGTTCGTCGCGACGATGTCGTTTCGCACGATGTATAATGATTTTAGGGGTATGAAGACAATGGATCTTTCGCCCGCTTCCGAGGATGCGGATCCGCTATTTGATGAGAATGGAGGGGATTTGAGCGGGGTGATGGTAGCGAGGAGGACGTTTGCTTGTAAAATTGGGTGGACGAAGAGATTTGAGGAGAAAGATAGTTTGTATTTGCGGGTTGCAAAATGTTTGCCATTGCCAATAAGGCCGGAGGGGCCGGAGGGGATGAATGATGAAGAGTGGGAGGAGGTGAGACCCAAGGGGCCAAGACCTAGGACGGAATGGGTTTTAGAAGCTATTAGGGCGTTGAGGGAAGATAGACATTGGGAGAGTTTGCCGATGAAACAGTTCCAGGCGAGGCATGATGAAGTGAAAGAGGTAGCGGGGAGAAAGAGGCGGGCCTTTGGTTTAAGATCAAGGTCCTCGTTCGACATGGAACAGGCGAGGTGCTTGGATAAGATTATGAATGATGTCGGGACGGTTTTGTATTCTAAACGTGAGGAAGAGTTGGAGAAGAACCCGAGAAGACATAGAAAAAGGGGGATTGACGCAGGGTTTTAATGTTGATCTTATAGGAGATGATGTTTCGTAAGCAAGCCATGAAGAGGCAAAGTTTCGGTTTTGGAGAAACGAATATGTTTTTGAGGAGAGCAGTGGGGAAATAAAAATTAAGTAGACAGGATGGCAAGTGAATGGTGGAATGAGTAGAGGGGAACAGAAGGAAGTGGGAAGTATGTGTTTCGAAAGAGTAGCATTGTATCAGTTGCCTCAACAATACTTGGTATTTTAAATGCTCATATGAATCATTTGCAAACATTTAAGTAATCCAAAGATCTTGGACATCAAGCTTAGCGATTACACTTTTAGCGACATAGGAATGCTATTATATACCTAGGTCTTCACAAAAACATCTTCAAACTGCCAACAGATCTTTGCGACCATCCGATGCAAATTTAGAAAGAACAGCTTTGTTTTAACGGAATACAATCATTGAATCCATCGGTTGTAAGAGTGTAGGTATCCGTCTCGTCAAAACGATTCAGATGGATAAAACTCGGACAGTTTCCTGATAGAGACGCACCTTGCACGTGAAATGTGAGTTTCCTTTCGATTCTCCAAAGTATACTCGTATATGTACGAAATGTTCTCACAATCATTCGTTCTGCTCCTAACTTTTGTTATCTATATCTGTTCTTTATCAGAGTTTCCCCTCCTGCCCCTCCTAGGGTTAACGGTAATCAAAGTTTCCCTTTTTTGTAGATTTTGAACGTTTCTTCAACAATACTGCCTTGGTGTCTAGACGGGTCTAGATTCAGCATCTACCCCATACATAGACGTCGAGAGACTGCCGAGGAGTTAATGCATAGTACACATTCTCGATGCTCATATCGTACAAGTTTATTGAATATCAGGAACACTGATTCGTTTTTCCACGCTTTGTACCTAGGATGATGAACAGAGCAATGTCGTGTCGCCCTCGATCATACCGCCCTTTCAAAGTAAAGTATATATGGTTGTACTACGTAGATGATTTGTTTCCGAGTAAGTGCCGGTAGATATGCATGCAGTATATCTGTCTCACCACGAGACTTTGAGGCTCAGAGTCTGCTAAAGTACTGAAGTCTGATAGCCATTGGGTTGGTCGATCGTTTATGCCTTGTGTGATTGAATTGTGGTCATTGGGCCATTGGGCCATTGCCCTGGCCATTGGATCTGGTGATCTGGGAATTGTTGGTTGGTATCGTACAGACTAGTTGGTCTTCCGACTTTTCGGGTGGAGACGTCGAATGGTAACGCTGCGTTGGTTGTGTAGGATGTGTACATGTATGTACATCACCACATGTATGTATCGTGATGTATGTACATGTATGTCCTCGTACATATACCCAGGTCGTTCTGGTCGCCGGCCTCCAGCATTTGAGTCACGTGTCGTATCAATGACGTAGTTGAGGCGGAATTCCCCTTATCTTCCCCCTTGATTTTTGCTTGTTTGCTTGTTGGTTCTCTTATAATAAATCTCACTTCATGCAGTCGATATGCACGATGATACAATGCATCGCTGCAATCTTCACTCCGGCCTCACTCCCCCCACGCAAACATCGGGATTCCGTTAATTGAGTGCCACGCATCCAAAAATTGCAAAGGGAAGGGAAAAAAGGGCAAAAAAGGAAAATAACCTCATGACCCTCAATTGGTAAGACGATAAAGCTAAGAAGAATTTCCAATATATTGGAGACGGTTTATCCCTTTACTCTTGTTACTTTTCTTTCGACGTTTGACGTTTGACGTTACTTGGTATACTAGGTATTCATACATTTTATAGGAAATCCAAAGTTTCTGGATTTTACTATCGAATCATTTCTTACTATCATATCACATCAAACATCCATTCAATACAACGGTACAAGGTATACATTACTACCAAGTAATCAAGAAACCAATTACGAATCGTCCCGTCTTAAGGGTCACCCCTCTAAACTCAATTCAACCCCTCCAAGCTCTTCATTTACTTTATTCCGTCCAATACGAATCATCAATCCAACCTTGCATCATATCATAGTTCAATCAAGGAACGAACCTTAACTTTCATCATTACACTACGCACCATACTATAGACCACGCTATACTACGGGCCAACCCGAATCTATCAAGATGGATTACCTTCCCATAGGTCTCCAAGCTACTGATGTTCTCGTCGACAAACACTTCCATAAAATTCCCGACAAAGCTTTTAGGAAAGAAACCTACAAACCGCGTATTCCTTCTACATTGAGTAGGAGAAAACGTAGGGAAAAAGAGGAACGAAGAAATTCTCGAGACCAAGGAGAAAATCCAGAGCGACGAAGAGATTCAAGAGATGAGCGAGAGCGAGACGATTGGGAAAGGGGAACACGAAAGAGACAAGAAGAACCATATCGTAATCCAGAAATCGAAGAAGCAGGTTACGATTCCGAACCCGATTACACATCTAGACAACGCGAAAAAAATATGAGGGATAGGAATTGGGAATCGAAAGGGGAGAGAGATAGAGATTTGAGAGATATTCCAAGACATAGCGGCGCGGGTACAGGTACAGGTTATGGATATGGATATCCTTATGAAGAATCAAATCGATCCAATTCTCCACCATCGCAGATATACAGTCAAGAACCACCACGTCTTCGTCCTGAGTATCTTCCAAAGTACAGTGCTCCTCGACCATTAGATCCTGCTAGTCCAAATCCTTACTATTTTCCTCCTCCGCCTATAGCACCATTCCCAGACGCATTCGAGAGAGATGAAAAGAGAGGAAACTATGATTCAGATGAACGATACGAAAGAGAAAGAACACGCAGACCAAAACCCATTCAAAGAAGTAGTTCCTACGATGATATCCACAGTCAACGCAAATCTTATCCCTCAAATACAGACCAAAGACTTTCCACTCATAGCACCAGTCGCAGACCTCGATCTGATCATAGTGAATCTAAAGATACACATACGGGCAGTATGAAGGATCGTGCCGAACGCTATGGACTTAAAGATGAAGTCAAAGGATTATTCACAGATTCACCAAAAGGATTGGTAGGAGGAGCGTTCGGAGCACTTGCAGGAGGATGGGCGGCGGAAAAGCTGCAAGAATCAAAGACGGGGAAGGATAGAAAGGATATGGGAGATCGGGCAAAGATCTATACGTTGATTGGAGCGGCGGCGGGAGGATTGTTGGCTAATGCTGTGGTTGATAAGTGGCAGGATGGAAAGGAGGAGACGAAGGAGAAACAGAAGAAATGGGATAAAAAATACCCGGATGGGAAGATTGATGGGAATGAAGAGAGGGGGGATAGAGATGGAGGAAGAAGTGGAAGGGAAAGGAGAGATTCGGTTAGGAGTCGAAGAGATAGGGATAGAGATGATAGTCGGGAAAGATATATGGCTTATGAGGAGAAGACTAGGAGAAGTGATGGAAGAGGTTATGAGGGGGTGAATGATGAATATTACTGAACCGGGGTTTGACGATGCTCACGATATGAACGAAGGATACGACTCATCAGCGATTTTAGAGATGTGATTGGAAGGTTACCAGCGAGCGTGGATTTGTTGCTCGAACTTGAATGGACGAAACAGCACTGTATTTTATTACGAACTTACGAAATGATGAACTTGGGATTTAGAGAAAAGAAAGAGAGATGGAAATGGAAATGGAAATGGAAAGAAGATATAGGATGGGATGGAAGCGATGATTATGTAATTATATTTGATTTCCTTGCTTTACTTTACTATTCGCTTGTTCATCTTCGCGCAGGAATTACTATAATTGTTTATACTTCAATCATCTCATTTCATTTCATTAATCGATAGAAATACTTGAAATACTTGAATAGGAATTCTACATACCTAGTATAGTAAAGTACCTACTCGTTCCTAGAGATTTGTTTCGCTCATTTATTATTATTACCATCTAGGTACTTGGTATATGCGAGCAAAGTAAAGCCAGCTACCTTATAGTCTAGCTTAGCTTTCTTTCTTTCTAATTAATCTCAAGATAAATGTAATTGAAATTTTTGAAAAAAGGAAATTAATATATAAAGATTTCGTTTATTTATTGATATAGAATGGATAGAAGTTATATTTAATAGATAGTAAGTAAAGAGTTATATTAAGAATTATTAATATATAGATACTAAGGTAGATAACCAACTATCTCATTTTTTTATTACTTTTCGCATATACTCACCCTTTATATAGGAGAAAAAACAGACCGATTTTGATTATATAAAATCATTAATAAAATCTCTGAATTAATTGAATTATAAATCAATTACAAATAAAACAAACAAATCTGAAAATATCAAATTACTTATTATCTTTTATTTATATTGATTCTTATCAAAGATTTTATTTTATTTTAGAAAAGGAGAAGAATTTGGTTTATTGAAAGTGTTAAAAAGTAATCAATCCCGGCCTCTTTTTTCTTCTACGTAGAGCCACCCCACCCCACCCCAAGAATCCCTTCCATCTACTCCATTAAAATCTATGTTCATATATCCAAACAGCAGCGCTCCACTATAACAACATCAAAAACCAGCGTTTGTGGTTTAGTGGTAAAATCCATCGTTGCCATCAATTTCTCCATCTATTCGGAGAGTGCGATACAACTTCGATGGGCCCCGGGTTCGATTCCCGGCGAACGCAGACTTTTTGTTTTGGGGAGTGGTGGGTGATAGGTGCTTAAGGGGGAGGGGTTGTGTGTTTTGTTGTGGGTTTGGAAGGTTGGGTTTTGGTTTCTGTTTCGGTGGATAAGTAGGTGAATTGGGATGGGAGTTGCTTTTTGGAGTTGAGAGTGAGTGGTTTGGGACAGATGGATTTTTTATCTATTTCGATGGAGAAGGGGAACGTGAATGTGGGTTGAGATTGAGATGATAGAGGATAGTGAGGAATGGACGATGTACCGAAAATTAAAATGATGATGATGATGATGATGATGATGATGATGATAATAACATATTGAAGTAAAAGACATTTTTTTCCTAAACAAAGTGATTCTTGTGGGCATTTTTTAATGAGATGATTATTGGTATGGTTATTGGTATGGGTTGTGCTTAGAGATAGGTGGTGATGGGAAGAGAAGTTGCTTTGAATTGGAGTTTGATTAAAGTTTGATTGATAGAGTTCGTAAATAAATCACTTATTATCTATCAATCATATATACAAAACACTTTAACAAAACGTAAGATATAAAGAAGCGATTTTATTAACTCATTAGATATACTGAAATATTGAGGTTCCAGTCCAATAATATCACCGATTCAATGCAAAGACAGAAGTAGCGGGAGTCTATTAGTAGATATCGACATATTTATTCCCTTGTCATTTTCGAACTTTTCTTGTCAATTGATTACTTTAGCATTCACCACTTTGATGTGTTTCCATCGCTCGCTTTCCCTGTTAATATAGGTACCTACATCAACAATCAATCTATAACCTATCATTTCCCAATCCCAATACAATTCTTTCTCTATCAAACTTGACCATCCTCCTCTATTAAATCACCAGATTCTTCTCGAGGATACAAACCTCCATCATCACTCTTCTCATCGCGAAGATTATCCCCTTGCCCAACTCACAACCACCATGTTCTAGTAGCTGTACTTACTAAAACTCACTACCCGCTTCGTAATATCTCTCACATACGATGGCTGAATAATATCTGTCGTTTAGTTATACAATATAGTTTTCTCCGACGTTTGTATCTAGTACAGTAGATTCGATCATGTCAAATGAGACGCCATGATTTCCTCCTAGGATCTTATATGCTATATACTTTACTCTGCTGATGATAGCTCATTACATGTACTGATTCAGGATTTGGACCATCGTTGATCTGGGTTTCGGTGTGATGTATCTCGCCTGGTACTTGGTCCGTAAGCGAAGGTATGTTATCGCTACAGTATGAAGTATTGAATGAAGAGAGTAACTCGTATGATAGTAATTGCAATTGAAGAGACCATCTCTGGAATTCTATGCTCAGGATAATGATTTCCGAGCCGTATTGTAAATATGTTATTCAAGTATAGAATCAAACCCCTTTGAAGTAATTATTTATAATAACAAGCGAAATGAACATTTTTTCCTTTATTAATCAATCCACTTCAAATTTTATTCTCAGTCGTATAATTAAAACTAAAACTTCCTATTATAATTATACAAATAGATAGATTTCGATATAAAACTATCACTATCGCAGCTCCCGAGAAGAATACAAAACCTCCAAAGAAACGGAAACTCATTCTTCGCTCACAACCAATCATAAATCCCTAGATATCTCAACTCCTTCATCAAAATACTAGGTAGTCCTCCTACAAATCCCAGATCCAGCACAAAAAGAAACCACCAACATATCCACTACCCATCACTCCAGACTCTCAAACACGACACCAAACCGTCCCTTTACAGCCAAAGATCGGGTTCACCAACCGCTTGATATACGGAAACTCAGTATTGCTATAGATGTACAAGTGCGACTTCAAGGCTCGACAGCCAAGCTTCAGTAGGCACCCGCACAACATGGTTTCGTTTCGTAAGCTCTGAAAAACTTACCATGAGATTCTATCCTATCCTACAAATTCGATTACACGTGATCTTTCTCGAAGAGCATTAGCTACGAGTGAGTCGTATGAAGCTGTAATGGCATCGTCGGGAGATAGAGTTCGAAATCAATGCAACGAGGATGTCAGCGAGCCCTTTTAAGCGTATGCACCATTTGTAGCAATTGCTCAAGTATAGACCTCATATGACCATCTCACTCGAGAGCCAGAGGACGAATGATCAGGGTACTCAGCATTTCGGACTCCAAACCCATTCTAATGAGCTCTCAATATTCAAAGCAGTACAAAATCAATAGTGCGCTCAGTATTTCAAGTCATTCAAACCATTGAAACCATTCGATTAGATTTATGAAACTTCCAATTTTCACACTACGATCTGAAACATTGAGAACCCAGACATGCACTTCACATCATTACCACCTCACTCACCACTTAAGAATCAAATACCAAACAGCAAACAACTCATAAAACCACGAATGTTCATTCTCATTACTCAAAAGTCCATGCATACATTCTTAACAAGCATGTACTCTTCACCATCCGTGTTCACTTTACGTCACCTCACATACAAATTCCCATCTAATCCATCTCTCCTTCCAACCCACCATTCCATACCATACCACATACATCCATTCGTCCATCCCTATTAAAAAGCGCACCCAAGAAGAAGAAAGATGATACCAGATCCATCCATCCAGCCTTCAGTTTCTGCTTAAATCTTTGCGAACAATGACAAGATGCAAGAATCGAAGCTAGCAAATAAACGCAAAAAAGCAAAAAGTAAAGTTGGGTATAGAAAGGTTTTATATTTCGGGTATCGGGCAAAGTATGTCGATTTATTAGACTTTAAAATAAAGTCAAGTCAAGACAAGAAACCACCATGAACTAAGAACGTTCGTAGGTGACGCATTAAAAAAGTCGAATTAAACAGTCGAAACATGATTGAAAAATATCGGCGACATAGAATGAATAGAAGGCACCGAAGAAACAGTTTGCTGATAAAGAAGTTGACATAAGTTGAGCTGAGACATGATGCGCAAGAATTGCGGAAAAGGTTGAAATTCTGAAATACGTTGAAAGATTCTGGAATGAAAGGAGGATAATATTATGTCAAGAGCTATTCATTACGAGCTGGCCCAGAGACGTCTGAAATTGATTCTAGTGACCTAGCGTGAGCAAAACAATCTATAATCAGCCGAGATTTCACACTTCGCAAATTTCAACACCAATGTAATAGCAATTAAAACGCAAGCAGCAAATCCCGTGGAAAAGCGGAAGGAATAAAGGGGATGATGTGATTTGAATGGCAGGAAAATGAGGTCCAATTCGATTGGTTGCAGAAAAAAGGGTTTGTGTGAAATGGGAGGATTGGAAAAGAAACAAGAAAATAACTACCTCATATTATCCTTTTTCAAATCATCATTCATCTTTTCCAATTGTTCAACAGTAACTCTAGCTTTTGCTAACTATTGATTTGAGTAATACGTTAGTAAATGTTTCCTTTCTTGTGTGTATGAGTATTTGAATCAGGCTGGTATGAGAAGGGAAAGACTAAGTATCTGTGTACGAGGAAGAAAGGAATTAGGGGTGAGGTATGTGCAAATAGAACCAAGGAAAAGGAGAATAGAACTGGGCAACAGAAGCACTAGAAAAAAGGTTCGCCAACCGAAGCTAACGCGGCCGATGAATTATCATGCTCACTTTCAGGTGTAACCACTGCATCTGTGCTTTCACCCGTTCCCTCGGAATCCTTACCATCGGTATCGGCGAATCCCCTAGAAAAAAGTCCTCCGAATGTTGGTGTTTTTGGTGGGGATGTAGTTGAGAGCTTGGTCTTTATTGTTTCACCATATTGAATTAGCTCAAGTACCTAGTACTATTATAACTACATAATCAGAAGGAAAATTGAATTCATACCTTTGCCTCTGCAAGTTCAGCATCTTTGACTTTGAGTTGAGCTTCTGCTTCTTTCAACCGAGCATCAAGAGTTTCACAATCTTTGCTAGTCTCTTCAAGGAGCTCCGTCATAGACTCATGCATTGTCTTGTAGTCATCCTTGCTAGTCTTAACTTTTTGTTCAAGAACAGCTTTCTCTTTCTCGAGTTCTGCCTTTGCTGTCTCCAACTGTGATTTGCTAGCTGTAAGCTCTTGAGTGGCCATTGCTGCTTCTTGTTGGGCTGATGCAAGAGCAGCCTCATGTTGGTTCTTGAGAGCTTGTAATTCTTGACGTAAGGCATCAAGTTCGGAAGTATCCAATTTCACATTTCTTGCAGCCTCCAAATCAGCCTCAGCATTGGCCTTAGCAATCTTTTCGGCAGCCAAAGCTTGCTTGAGGGCTTCCAACTCATCTTGTGCTGTATACAAAGACTGTTTAGACTTGGCGATCTCATCTTGCAATTCGGCCTCAATAGCCTTTTGTTTCTCAAGATCCGAAGAGGCAGTAGCGTGACTAGTTTCATGCTGTTCTCTCAAAGCGGCAATCACTTCATCGTGAGTTGATTGAGCATTAGCGTACTGGGCTTTCAGAGCGGCAATATCCTCCACATAACTTTGAAGCAATCTCTCCAACTCCTGTTCGTAAGCTTGTTGAGCACCCTTTTGGGTTTCAAGATCTGAAGAAGCATTAACCAAATTGGTTTCATGCTCAGCTTTCAAGGCAGCGATTTGCTCATCATGCGTCGATTGGGCATTAGCATGTTGGGCTTTTAAAGCAGCAATGTCCTCCGCATGACTTTGAAGCAATCTCTCCAACTCCTGTTCGTGAGCTTGTTGAACACCCTTTTGGGTTTCAAGATCTGAGGAAGCATTAGCCAAATTGGTTTCATGCTCAGCTTTCAAGACAGCGATTTGCTCATCATGCGTCGATTGGGCATTAGCATGTTGAGCTTTTAAAGCAACAATGTCCTCCACATGACTTTGAAGCAATCTCTCCAACTCCTGTTCATGAGCTTGTTGAACACCCTTTTGACTTTCGATATTTAACAAAGCAACAACCAATTTGGCTTCATGCTCGGCTCTCAAAACAGCGACTTCTTCATCATGAGTTGACTGAGCATTTGCATACTGAGCTTTCAATGCAGCGATATCTGCAGCATGGTTCTCAATCAACTTTTCCAGCTCTTCATCGTAGGCCTTTTGTGCGATCTTTTGACTCTCCACGTCTGACGAGGCGGTGGCGATATTGGCTTCGTGTTCTGCCTTCAAGGCTGCAATAGCTTCTTCATGAGTTGATTGAACTGAAGCATGTTGAGCCTTCAAGGCAGCGATATCTTCAGCGTGGTTAGAAGTCAATTTCTCCAATTCCTGCTGGTGTGCGGCTTGAGCAGCAGAAGTTGCTTGGCTGTGTGCGTCGTCCAATGCCTTTGCATGAGTCTTCTCAAAGTCGGATTTTAAATCGGCAATGGCAACGGCATGACTATGCTCGAGCTGTTGCAATTCTGAGGAGTGAGAAGAATGACTAGCAGATATAGCTCTGTCATGTGCCTCATCCAATGCCTTGGCATGGTTTGTCTTCAACTCGTCCAATGCACGTTGATGGGCCTTTTCATTAATATCGAGCTCAACAATGGCTGCAGCGTGGTTTTGCTTTGCCTTCTCGAGTTCTTCTTGATGAGCCTTCAAAACCTCCGCATGGGCCTTGGTGAGTTCCTCATGCTTCGTCTTCAACGCATTGAATTCGTCTCTGATGCCAGAGTCTCCTGATAATGCATCAATCTCCTTTTGATAATCATTCGAAATGGTTTCCAGTTCTTTCAAGTGCTTCTCATTGAGCGTTGAAGTTTCCAATGCATGCTTGTCCAAAAGTTCGGAAATTTCCTTGGTTTTCTCATCTAATGACTGGACTGTTGTTGCAAGCTCCTCCTTAATCTTCATGTGTAATTCATCCTTGCTCTTTTTATCAGAACCAAATTGTTCCAAGGTGTTTTGAAGTGCAATGACTTCCTGCTTGGACTTTTCTAATTCCTCTTTAGCTGCGGCGAGTGCGGATTCGGATTCGGTTCCAGTAGATTGCAAGCCATTGAGTTTTTCAGTCAATTCGACAACTTGCTCTTGTGCAGAGGCAAGGTCCTTTCTGGCAGCCTCAGCCTCAGCCTTAGCTTCAGAAATTTCCTTTTCTGATAATGCCAATGCTACGGAGCTCTTTTCGAGACTTTCTTTGAGACTGGTGACCTCACTTTCCAGACTTAGAACCTTCTCGGCATGAGCAGATTCCAAAGATCTTTGAGCCTCGAGAACTTCATCAAGTTGTTTTTGAACAGCAGCCAAGCTCTCTTCGTGTTTCGTGGTCAATTCAGCGATCTGAGATTCGTAAGTGGAGGAAGCATCAGTATTGCCCTTCGCAAGCTCCTCCGAATGAGCGGACTTCAATGCATCAAGAGCAATGATGTGCTCTTCGGTCAAAGTCTTCTTCAATTGTTCCAAGGCGCTTGCATGTTCGCCAGCTTGGGTTTCAAGCTGCTTTTGGATTGCGGATAGATTCTCTTCATGTTTGTTGGTCAACTCAGAAATTTGTGTTTCATAAGTTGAGGAAGCATCGGTGTTTCCTCTTGAAAGTTCCTCCGAATGGGCAGACTTCAATGCCTCCATGGCAGCATTGTGCTCCTCCGCCAAGGTTTTCTTCAACTCTTCCAGAGAGTCTGCATGCATACTGGCCTTGGACTCAAAGTCTAATTCTAAGACTTTGACTTTCTCATCATGCTCGGCCTGTAGAGCTTTCAATGATTCGGTTGCAGCTGCACATTCTGCAATAGCCTGCTCGAGCTGAACTTTCAAATCTGTGATTTCAGCCTCTTTCTCAGCGGCTGCAGCGATAGCACCGGCATTTGCTTCTCTAGCGGCAGCCAATTCGGCATTGACTGCATCTAAAGCATTTGCGTGCTCGCTAACATGTGTATCTTTGGCAGCCGCTAACTCAGCGTTCAATGCCTCCAAGGCGGCACTATGTTCAGTCTTTAACTTTTCTAAAGCTTCCACATGCTCAGTGGCACCTCTAGAAGACGCAGCTTCTTTTGCCTCCTCAATAGCCGCCAAAGAAGCTTCTTGAGCTGCTGCCTTGGCATTCTCGGCTTCCACCAATTGGGCTTGCAAATTCTCTAGAATGGCTTTGTGATCGGCATTGAGCTTCTCGACAAGTTCGTTGTGTGTTGCGCGAATAGTTTCCTCGGCATCCGAAATACGTTTCGACTCTTCTTCAGCAGCTTTGCCAAGATCAAGAAGTCTTTCTTGTGATGTGGTAATTTCCTTCTTCAATTCTTCGACCTTGGTCTCACTCTCCGCCAATTTCGTCTTCAACTCATCGACTTCTTTTGTGGATGCGGCCGCAGTTGCTGTCGCTGTCGCAGATGGTGTTCCACTGACGGAGCGAGAGGATGACAATACTGATGGCTTTGGTGCTGGGTGGGTCGATATACCACTTTGAAGAGCGTTGAGACGCTTTCTAGCTTCCGAAACTGCACCGCCGCTGCTAAGGGCGCTAATCGAAGGCTTAGAAGAGTGTGCTGGGCGAGTGGTAGTTGTGCTATTTACTTATCAGTACTGAACACACCCATATTCACAAGATAAAACTATAATGGGACTTACGCAGAAGCACTCGTTGGCTTTGGGGCAGTTGTACTAGGAGTCTTCACAGCCTTTGGACTGGTTTGACCAGCTGTTGTCGTGGATGCAACAGGTTTTCTTGCGGTTGTTGTTGCTGCTGTGGTTGTAGTAGTAGTAGCGTGCATAGAGGCAGGTCTGGCCCGGGCTTCAGCCGCTGTACCAGGCGTCTTTGAAGTATTGGTATGGCTTGGTGCAAGAGAAACTCGTCGTGCAGAGGTAGCGGCAGGTTTTTTATCGTCTGCATGAGTTCCAGCAGCAGATGGAGCTCTATGACTGGCACTGGAAGATGTAGCTCCTGTTGCACTGCTTGTAGGCTTTCGCACAATAGATCCAGTTGCTGGGCGCGTTGGCGGTTTGCTCAAACCTCCTGTAGTCTTTGTTGCGGATGAAGATGTGGGTTTGATCCCAGAAGAGGCCGTGGGTCTGGTTGCGCTTCCTGAAATTGGACGTCTTGGTGCCGCAGATGAGCCAGCTCTTTTGGGAAGTACATTTTCCTTCTTCACACCACTTATAGCTCCTGTTGCGGTCTTGCCTGCATCGTTGCTCTTGACAGATTCTTTCTCTGTCTCTGTATCTACTTCCGATCCTGCTCCGGTAGTTTCATCTGGCACAGCATCTGCGGTGCCCTCAATGGGAGCTTCAACAGGGGTGATAGGAGTGACAGGAGTATCATCTAATGTATCCAGAGATGATTCTTCTGGCTTGAAAGTCTCTTGGGGGATAACTGGGCTCTCAACGTCCGCCATATTGACAATGATCGAGGAAGAAGGAGATTGTATAACGAAGGACTAATATTTGCGACTATAGTTGTAAAAATCAAAATCAGTCAGCGATATTCATTTATGATTCATCAATGACCATTTCCCCAACCCAATTTTCCTAGCCTCACATGTGCATATGTACTCCACCAAACAGCGCGACATGTAACATATCATTGATCAATGGAAAGACCCAAATCTCACTTGGTAGCGCAAACGGTTGAATCTGCCAAACAAGATTGATACACCAAAACCCTCAATGTGACTCGAGACTTACGACGTGTTCAATCGCAGCGCAATACGAAGCACACCTATCTTGCAATGGTGCTCTCCAATTGCGCAAATTCCAATGCTCCAATGGATGAATGTGCGATTTGGGCTTCTATTCGGGATTGGATTGGCTATCAAAAATAACTGACCTGGATCTTTATCTTTCCCTATCTCTCTCTCTCTCTCTCCCAATTCCTCTTGGGTATCTCAAACACTTAACAGATTGATTTATGAAGTTTTGAGTAAAGGAAAGTAAGTATCAGAAAATGATGTGCAATGCTAAAATAAGAACTGATCAATGCAAGTTGGTGAGAATTCAGGGACCAGAGAGGGAAATTGAAGGCATTGAGCTTGTTGACTTCTAGAAGAGAGCAGTTAAATTTTAGAGGGGACTTGCCCCTGCGGCCGATTTACATGGACCCACCATATTTAATCACGTATCTAACGAAATTAACCCGTATTGGACAGACAAACGTTATGAAAAGAAAAGAAAAGATATATACTTATTAACTTATTGGAATTCACTGAGTAGATATGAGAATGGATTCATTTGATCGTCAATATAAGGGAAAAGAAAATCAAAGACATATAAGTACATTTTTGACATGTGTTAGGTTTGATAACCGTATCGCTTGTTGCTAAAGAACCAGATCAACGCCAACCGTTTGAGATCATGTCGTGAAACATTACTGCCATCGAGTCATCTGCATTATCTCTTTTATGTCACCGCAAAAGAAAACATTCAAATGAAATAAACACTCAGTAGATAGGGGGTGTCTTGGAAAGCCTCACATCAAAGCTTTTTTTATCTACACCGACATCAGTTCGGATATCATTGGTAGAGTGCTTGGAGCCCCTGAGAGATTGAGCAAAATAATAATTTGTATTTACAGATAAGTTCCCCTTTTCCCATATGTTGTTGCTCGGTACCAGAGAACTGCTTTGGACATCGAAGTCATACTAGCTTTTCGCACCTAAAAATATATATGCCAATATGTATCCCATCCATTGGTTCCATTGTAGCTCCACGTCTTGCAAGCTCCATCAAATGCAAAGCCCCTTCAAAAATAGTTACTGTTTGATAAATAGCGATATTTGTTACCCATTCCTTCCATATGCTAGCTGGCCACATAATAGTCGTAAAGTCGTAAATTGAAAAGTTATAATGACCCTCCGATGAGAATTAATAATTTTGTCGTTAGAGATTGAATTAGTCGGTGAAGATGTCGAAAAGTCACACAAACCTTCCGATTTTACTTCATCTCGCTCAAGTGGATTCCATTACTTGAATTGACATCATTGTGCAATGTAGTAGAAGCCTTGAGGGTAATTTGTGCTTCCTCTTGTAGTACTTTGTCTCGTGCCAGTTGTGTTAACGCTCTTGGTCTTTGAATTCGTGGAATCCAGTGTTCGATTTGGCGTAACTGTATCGTGGTTTCTGCTATTGCCCAACCTGTTCCTATCAGTATCGTTTTGTATAAAGTTGGAAGGTAAAAACAAACCTCCAACGAAGAGACCCAGGTTACGAATCAAAGATGGCGGAAGACCATGACTACCAAAGAATAGAGTAACCGGGGGCAAGAGTATTCGAAGAGCATTGTTAACAAATGGATCACCCATACTCATAATACCGTTCCATGAATTCGCGGCCTCAGCCGCTTTCCCAAGACTTTCTCGAATACCAGTTGCTGTAAAGCTGGCTTGTTCAAGGCTTTCCGAGTGATCCTGGATCAAGGTGGTCATATTCACGACGACATTACTCAGTGTATCGAACCTCTGTAAATGTCAGATTAATCTTGCGTATCATGAGCCAAAAAACCTTACCTGGTCCAAAGTGTCTTGTCTATCACTCATGGATGTGATCACAGGAATCAAGAGATCCTACATATAATCAGTCATGTCACCTGAATATTCCGTGTAACTTACAATTGCGTAAGTCAGTCTCTCGAATGATGATTCGGCGTTTTCTGCCAATGCGTTGATGTTTTCCAACTTTGATTTTGCAGTTCCAGATGTGGCCACAAGAGCCTGTTCTTGTGCAGCGGCCATCTCGGCATTGCTTTGAAGAACAGTATCGACGACATTCTTCATCACTCGTTGAATATCGCCAGTACTGCCAAGTATTGATCGAAGCGCACTTGCAACATCCTACATATATGAGTCAATTTTGTAGCATAAAATACAGACGAGTAGTGGACTTACCAATGCCTCTGATGAAATGACATCGAATGCTCCTTCGACCTTGGTCTTGAGTGCTTCAGCCTGCGTCATGACTCCTTCAAAGTAAGAATCTGCTGCTCTTGCATTATCTGCCATATTTTGCTTGAGATCATGAAGGTCGTTCTCGAGGTCTGCCGCAAATTGACTCATGATCTCCACAAGCTTTTTTTGTAGAATAATAGATTGATCTGGAGACAATTAGGCAGGCTCTCATAGACTGACTGGCGACATACCTTTGTCAATGTCAGATCGAGCAGCTTGACAAATCAAAAGACAATTGTCCCGATAACTAGTCCAACTCAACCAATGGGACGGATCTTTACCGAGTCCCTTTAAGCAGGCTCCAACCTCATTCTGTGATACTTGTAATTTCCCTTCTGCTTCTTGCGAAGCACGTAACAAAGATGGAAGCCGGAAAGGCTCGCAAGCATCAGGAACGACCATACTACTACGTTCCATATCACAAATGGCGAGGCTTGCAGCAAGGCTCTCCACATAGTGCCTCTGAACACGCCCACTATATAAGTCGTATTCTTTTTGATTAATGTCTTCCAAACCTTCACAATTGCTCATTAAAAGCTGTGCAGCTACTCGATGGCAAATCGGTTCTTCCTCTAGTCTCTTCAACTCAAGCATCGCACTGGAGTACAATTCATTGTTGCGAGATCGAGCATTTACCAGTTCCGACTTAGTATTCTGGTGTTGATTTCTTCCAATTTGTCGTTGGCCAGGAGTGGAATCGTCGACAACTTTGGACTTCCATCCGAAGGCAGATACTGATACTAACCATATTCCAAGGAGAAGGGGTCTGAGAAGTAGCATCTTGAAACTTTGATAGTGCTTTGGGGGTCTTCGAGTTCTCAAAGTTATAGACCAGCAGTAAATTTGAGTCGAGTCGCAGAAGCAAGGTGAAGATCAGAAAACGATAGATCGGAGAACTGTCTTAAGGTTTGCACGTCGTAAATTAAGGAAGCTGGAGATAATTCAATGAGAAATGGATAATGGAGATAGAATAGGTTGAAGTCTTCGAGGAAGAAGAAAGTCACTGGCGTTGAAAAGAGTTGTTATTGCTAAAGATTTGAAGATTGAAGAGTTGAAGAGAAAGGATAAGGACAGAAGAGATCGAGAAAACTGAATTAGAAGACGCTATCTTCTTCGTCGGGGCAGAAACAGGACATGAACAGATCTGAAGGAAGTGAATTATATGAGATTTCAAAGAGGGTGAATTGAGGAGGGGATCTCTCTTCCTTCCTAAAGTGACATGTAATTGTGATGCATTCGAGGACGTTTGACTACCTCGATACTTTTCACCTTTGGGTTTTAAAGAATTTTATATTGTACACGAACTAAGAGTCATAATTTTCAGAGAAAGCCCATCCATTCTAGGTATTCAATCGAATTTGGAAATTTGGACCATTTTCAATCACCTCAATATCTACGCGTTTTCATCTGGTGTTCGAGACTGGAGAACATCAGTCAAGTCCACGAGGTCACGTGTTATATTGACTATACGCTAACCACATTTAATCCGACCTCAAATTCTATCGACGGCGACCCTAGCAACAAAACAGCAGCAACCCGCCCACCATGTTGTCCACCGCTCGATCTAAAGGCATAAGCCAGGTCCTCACATCCATTCCCTCCGTATCAATCCCTTCATTTCTCCTCCCCGCATTCCCAATCGCCTCACGATCCTTTTCCGCATCAACATGTCGAAACTCTCACATCGGAAGCGCAGTATTATCTATTCCTCCAGAAGTAACCTTTAAAGTTATACCACCGCCTCCGCCGGCGAGAGGCTCTGCGGTCGCTGGAAGACCGGTCGTCAAAATTGAGGGGCCATTGGGGAAAATGTCCATGTCAATCGAGCCATTTATTAAAATCGAACACGATGAGAATACACGGAAAGCAACTGTCAGAGTGGAAGATAGAGAAGTAAAAACCCAAAGAGCGATGTGGGGTAAGCATTTCCCCTCTGTGTCCAGTTTATGTTCTGTCTCGCAGTTTGCTAACAAGTCCCTGTAGGAACCACCCGCGCCTACCTCCAAAATCATATACTCGGTGTCTCTGAAGGTCACAATGCTATTCTCCGCCTTGTCGGTGTTGGATACCGTGCTACAGTCGAACCCGCCTCCAATGTTACCACCAAAACTCCCGAATTCGAAGGCCAACAGTTCGTTGTCCTGAAAGTAGGATATTCTCATCCCATCGAATTACCCGTTCCAAGATTCGTGAAAGCGAGTACGCCACAACCTACACGTATATTGTTAGAAGGACCAGAGAAGGAAGTTGTGTTGCTCTTTGCGGCGCAAATTAGAAAGTGGAGAGTTCCAGAACCATATAAAGGAAAGGGAATCTTTGTTAATGGGGAAGAGATTAAGTTGAAGAATAAGAAGATCAAGTAGGGGTTGGATATCAAGAACATTAGTAAGGAGATAATGTCACTTCTAGATCTCATAGATGTATCTGTGGCAATGATGTGCAAGCGTGTAGAAAGT